ATGATTCTACATCTTAAGGTTGCAACATTATATAAACTTTTCCCATATATACATATATATATATATATATATATAAGTGGATTCTGTATGCCGACTCGCTGACCGCTACAATAAACGCCAATGGCCCAGAATCAATCTGGGTAGATCTGACGGTCATAACCTTATTTTGTGTTTGAATTTTAATTTTTTTCTACAAATCCAAATCACTTGAAATTTTACGAGTGTCTTCTACTAGTCAAGGCGCACCTAATAAAAATATAAAAAAATAATTCGAAAAACAAAAATTGACCAAAATACCTCTGAAATATTTTAGTGGTATTTTGGTCAATTTATTTCATGTAAAATATTTTTTTGATATTTTTGGTAGATGCGCATATTTTTGAAGAAAACACACCTAAAATTTCAATTAATTTAGATTTGTAGAAAAAAATTAAAATTCAAACACTACCGGACATCCGTAATCGTCCGAACGGCCCAAATTCAATCTGGACCGTGGGCGTTTGCTATAGCAGTACGCCCATGGGCGTACGTAATCTTTTTCATATATATATATATATATATATATATATATTAGGAATCTCAAACATACCCGTCCAATTGTACACACTAGTCCGAGAGCAAAGTAAGCTATAATCCATAGGATCATCATCATCCATCGAAATCGTAGATAGAGAGGCAGCAAACCCTGCTCTAATTCATTCCTCTCTTTGAATCGTTATCCACATGATTTCCCTAGATGTTGCTGACAAGTATGATGGTTTTTATGGCTATTAAAATTAGGGTGTGGTTTGTATAGAGCCGAGGCTCAAAACAATCAAATTAGAGCTAACCTTTAAATGGTGTTGAGAAATGTGGTTCAATACTGAAAATCTTTGTGTTAGCCTTAAAATATATATATTTTTTTAATTAAAAAAATTTAAAGCTTCAAAAATAGCGCGGATCGAGCAGATCTATAAAAATTTAAAAATCTAAAAAATTAACGGTCGAAAAATACGTTACAAGATACACTATTTCTAAAATTTGAAATCCATTTTCTTCTCATGTCCATGCATCTTGATGTCGAGATGATGAACTTGAATATATTTGGACAACAAAACTATCTCTTCTAGTTAAAATTTTGAAGTGGGCTTTAATTTGATTGTTTAGAGCCATGGCTCTATATAAACTTTTTCCTTAAAATTATAGTGTACGTTTTCAATCATTATCTTGGGGCTTATTCGTAACATTGTCAATTCATGGTTATATATGCATAGAAAACCCATATTTGAAAATCACTGCAAAATAATTTTGAAGATTGGGGAATCACCAGAATCATAAGCTTTATTAACATTTATTGAAATGATTGATGGTGATGGAAGCAAAGATGTCGATACTAACAGGGAGATGCCATGTTCTTGTGCTTCTATCTTTTATCTCCATCACCATCCTCATCAGTGTAAGGAACACTGATGTTTTATGGATTTATGTTCTTTTAAACTCCATAAGAGAACAGTAAAATTTCCCTATGCTTAAGTAGCTGCAGATTATTCTTACCATGAAGGACTGACCAATGAAGACAACAAAGGATTGAGGAGAAGGGGCTATGGGGATCCAAGTCTTTTCATCTTTAGAGAGAACTTCGAGGCCGGAGACATTGTCTTGAAAGACCAGTGTAATGAAGTTCTTGTCAGTGTGAGGGCTGAGTCCTAGAGCCGACTGGGGGGGCAAAGGTGCATCATACTTCATAACTCTGAACACCGCAGTGCTACTCTTTACATGTGATTCATAGAGATCTAGGGCATCCAGTCCCTCCATTATCATCCTCCTAATCAGCCCCTCCACTTCCCACACTTCCTTGATGAATGAATTCACGGTTTCGCTGTCAAGCAAAAAGAAAGATGAATTACAATAAGATTGAAGGGAAGCTATCATCACATCCAAAGTGTTCGGACTACTTGGAAGAGTCCATTCGGACTCAGCCGAGTCACTCGACCTCAGTTGAGACCTGAGGCAGGTGCACTCCCTACAATTGTTTTGTTTGTAAAGAAAACGCCTTTGGCCGCATTTATGGTTGTTGGGGCTATATATATATATATATATATATATAGTTAGTTAG